ATTTAATTTAATTAATATTTTTTTAATATTGACCGCGCATCGCGCGGGTACGACTACTAGTAACAATTAGAAGAGCCAAGAATAGTTTGTGAATACTCCACTACACATAAAATTACATACTTGCAGTAACACCCTTCTGTTTGGAGGTATCATAGGCCCTGACACTTCTGCATGCAGTTGGAATTTTCTGTATTTCCAAGCTGAAACAGTGTGCCTTTCAAGCTCATCGTTGGTCAGCACTGAATGACTTCCATGGAGCTGCAAAAAGTAGTTTACCTTAGGCATGATATATAGGAATGAAGCATAGATGATACATGACGACAATGCACTAGTTATATACAAATCTAATAGTAGTAATAAAATTTATCATTAATGATCAAAAGACAGCCTCAAAGGCATCCAATAGGAGAATTCAACTGCATAAAAATTATACATAGTAGATGGAATTCAGAAGAAAGGCACTATCTTCTTGTGATTAAACCTTACTATATCAATTCTCCCCATAAAATACAATGCAAGGAACATTCATCTGCAGGTTTATGATCCTCAATTGAACATAGAAAAGTCACTTATTTCAAATATAAATGAAAAATCGCTCAAACGACATAGGATTCACTCTTCACTATTTGCTGCATTAGAAAGACCAAATGCTTTGACATGAGGTGGACGGGCATGGAGTCCATGGACAAGCAACTTATTAGCCATATAAAAATGGAGTTTCTGAGTTTTTACTAGAAACATGGATTTTGATTATTAAGATAATGAGAAACCAAGCAAGAAAATCTTCCTCAAGAAAATATTATTCTCCGGCTCATTTTCAGCACTTAAATTCAAAGCTCAAAAAGGTTAAAAACTCGGTGGACAATGGACCCATCCCTCTGCCCTTCTCCACTTAAAGACCAGGCTTTTGTCTACCGCAACAGTCAAACTGGTGACATGTGCCTAACTCACACACCACGTGCTCCACTCTTACCATTATATCAAAACCCTACGGCCTCAAAAATATTTGGAAAAATAAAAAATTTAAAATCAGTTGCCAGTTGTGCTTAACAACTACTAAATAGTACCTTCAACAATATCAAAATGAAATCAGAAGCAGTAAGCATTCCCGATATCATCGCATTCCGCTCATCCCAAAGAGGCATCACAGCAAGTCCCTAAACATATGTTCAACTAGTGAACCTCAAAATATATACCAAGCATAAAACAAAAATCAACATGTAAAGTGAATGGAGAAATATAGTGTAACAAAACATTAAAGACATAGTAAGATTGCATGAACTATTACCGGACACTAGAATTTTTCAACCAACACAGTTGCATTGATGCCCAACCTATATCCAGGGAACATTACAGGCTCAAGAGCCATACTTTTGGCAGGATTCACCTGCACTGAATAATATTTTTTCCATCCTATGTTTTCTTCAATGAAACCAGCCCAAGAAATAGATTTTCTAAAGCACTGCAGATTAAAGGAAAGACACTCTCTTCCCCATCACAGAGAAAGTTGACAAATTAATATTACACGGCTATATTCCACAACCTAAACTATAAGAACATCTGAAACATAAATGGATAAGGTGCCATACTATAGATCTTCCTACCCTGTACATGAAGAAGGTCTCCACAAGTCACTTTTTGGAATAGGCCACATAAGCAAGAATCCAAAGGGTAAAACAAAGTGGTTTCATATAATAGAAACAACTATGCTTCTTTCGCAAACTAGTCGGGTCGTCTATATTAATTCTCAATATCCATTATGTTTTGTTTGGACCCATTCCCAATACTCAATAATTTATCATTTAAGGAAAACTAGTGTTCACTAGCTGAAGAGGTTCTCTGTATTTTCTATTACATACAAATCTCAAAAAACATCGTGGAAAACACCAAACAATAGTGTAAATGTGGAAACACGACAAAGTCTTAACTCCAACTAGTCTATCTTGCGTATATGAATCTTTCATTTCCATAATGTTATGTTCTTTGCCAAGTCCACATAGATTCTGGAAAAATGAATGACTTTGAGACAATATCCCTCCACGTAACTCTAGGTCAATTTTGTATGTCCCAGCAGTCAGGTTTGGTCCTTCAGGCAGCAACTCCCGCTGGTATATAATCCATAAAGGAAATTGGGCTAGGAGGTGAGTAACTATATCCAACTATTATTTGCCGATCCATGCAATTCAATAACAAATAACAAAGCAAAATGATAGATTCATCTCAGATGGCAAACCATACCGAAATCAAGAATAAACTAGTCTTAATAAAGTGCAGACATTTTGGTTGTAGATTTATAATCAAGTCCATAATTGAAATGTATAATTTGGATATTTACTCGAGTTAACTCATATGCAAATCTCCAAGACAAATTACAACTTCCAGAATTTGCTGAGCAAGTACTTATTAGCTACAACCTTGAGCTTGAGGACAAAGGTGTCTCTGACACCCAAGAGGAACCAAGAAGACGGTCAATAGTGTACATAGAAAACCGAACCTGTTCATACATGATATGAAAAGCCTGTTTCACAGCCACATCAGAATCTAATGCAAAGACCTATGAAAAATCACCAGTTAGGTAGTCAGTAAATTTAAATAGAGATATTATTAAGTAATGGCACAATACAAGAGGAAAGCATAGATAAAGACTTCCAAACCTTTCCTGAATTTGGAATCAGCTCATCTGCTCGGGAAGATGACAACAACATGAATAGACGACGGCGGGAAACATCTATTTCATTGGCTGACAACTGCATGACTGGTTCAAGCTGTAGTCCACATGAAGATGAAGCCTGGTTGGTATGACAAAGAAATTATACGGAATTAAAATGTTAAGGAAAGTGGTTGGAGGAAATCATTATGAGTAGTTGTCAGAATGAGGGACGGAAAAGGAAATTGAGGTATGGTCATTAACCATATCAAGTAAGAAATTCTTTTCTGGTCAGCACTGACCTCTAGATGCATGCTTCTAGCAAAACCCGAGACCAACTTCGACTGAGTATCCTCCCTAAGTAAGGCAGAAGGTGTGGAATCTGATTCCTTAACAAGTATCAAGTTATTGATTGCACCATATTCATCCTGAACACAAAGCTGTTCCTGGTCGACTTGCCAGGTTCCATCAATAAAGAATTTGTACTGCATAGTTCATTTGGAGCCAGTAAATTCAACTCCATACAAAATGTGCACTTTTTTTATTTTAAGCAGGTGTTACTGTACGTGTGTAATACATCAGTAACAGCTATAATATGTAAAACTTTACGATACTCCATATCTTGTGAAGAGGTAACATTTGCTAATGGTTAACTTGTTAAGAAAGCAAGGATGTTCCTGAAAATCAAATTATTTACCAGAATAGACATATTAAACACAAAATAGGATCAGTTTACACATCAGCCAAAGCATCAAAAGCAAAGAATACCGTAATCCTCAGGAACTAGACATGAAAAATCATTAAACCTATGCCTGTACAGTAATACTAAATCTCGGAAATATATTTGCATGCTTAAGATTTGCTGATACTTAGACGCTAATAAGCATATTGATGCATCTTCTTAGAGGCAGTTAAAGTGCAGCAACAGAAAAGGAGTACAAGGGACTTAGACGGTAAGATGGATCACAATGAGTAATAGCATATCTCCCGGAGTATTCCCTCAATCTCAATTTAGTTAGCTAACTTTCAGTTATAATCCATCCAATTCATTTGACCAACCCTGATTATCTATTTCTTTACTTTATCAAAACTTCTTCTAGCTCTGTGAACAGATATTCTGTATGAAAAAGATGATAGTAACTATTTTCGCATACAGCACCTAAGGCAATTGTCATTGAGCCGCCTTTTCTTTTGATTTTTAGGTGTACTTTGGCACAAATTCATTAGCTCGTTACACAATCATCACATAGAATTAAGGGAATACCTGATGATAACCTGGTGGAAGATCAATGATCCTCTGAAAAACGGTGGCCGAACCCTCCACCAAATTCATCAGTAACTGATCAGTCCAGCTGCACCATCCAAAATCACAGGCACTTAGGCAATATAACAAGCATGTAACGTGCACTTTGTTGAATCATAACACAAGGGGCTTAAAAATAAAAGACTAGTTGTAAATGAGAAATTAAAAGTACCCATTGAAGGAACCATAGAGGAAAACTTGACTACCACCATATCGCCATGTAAAGGTTATTAGTACCATTTTCCTCTTCAGACCCAAAACTTCCCTTTTGTGGTTTCGTATATATACATGGTTTTACGGGAAGACACAGTCAGCAAATTAGACAGAAAAAATCAGTGGAAATTCCAGAGGAAAGAGGGGAAATAGGGGAGCAAAGAGCATCGGTATACCCGAATGACAAGAAGCCAGCAAAGAGCGGAAATTATATTAAAAGAAAAACTACTAGAGTAAGCAAACAGTGGAAAATGAAAATGTAACAATGGATACGACATGGAAGTACTACTATGATGTTTGTGTATTTTAATGTTTGAAATAGTTGCAGATGCTTTCTGTTGGTTTCTATTTCTTTCTCTTTTTCAACGTTTTTTACGTTTTGTCATTTAGGTTGTTTGGCTTTATATAGCAAGAATGACATTTGTATTTAGTTTCTCTTTCATATGTCCTATGTGTTTGTCCTTCTTTGATCTTTTGAGGTGTATGATTGTACGGTGAGGCTCGTTGGTATTTGAAATAAGAAATAATTAATTTTAAAATTAAATTTGATATAATTTTATTTTATGTTTGGTTAGGATAAAATTATAGTATATTAATTTCGAGATTAGTTATTCCAGGATTATCATATTATTTTTATTTTAATGGAAAAATAAAATAATTAATTCCGAGATAATTAATCTTGTCATAACTCATTTCCCAATCAAAATACCCCTAAAGTGGGGTGTGAAACTACGGCGGTCTTGACATCTCCTCCTATGAACTTCAAACATAGATGTCTATTTGTTTCTATATGATATATGATATATGATATATACTCTGTTTAACTCAAAAGATATTAAAACCTTTTTGAACAAATCAATCAAAGATGAAGGGGTAAATTATAGTCAAACTTAATTGATTCCAGACCGAACAACTTCGTAATGATGAATATATAGGAGATGAACAAGATATCGCCAATCTCATTAAGATTCAATATTGCATTCCTCCTCAGTTTCTGAGGAAAAAGAGCTACAATTGCTTTTTCTTTGAATACCAGAATGGAGCTCTTAGCTCTATTTTTTCTAGATAAACCTCGAGAAGC